GACGAGGGGTAGATTTGTTTTTCTTCCAAAACTGGGGCGAGAGGTAAGGAATTAAGAAATGGTTGTGCAGAATCAATGTTTCGGCTCAGGCTGCGAATGTTGGTGACGGCGATAAGTACGTGTTTGCATTGCGATTGTGTAGAGCGAGTGAGACTGCTTTATTTCGTATTGTCATGTTTATGTTACGAGAAGGTGATCGGCAACCATGATCCTGAGACTTGGAGTGGTGGACCACATAAGGCTTCAATAGATCAGGCGACGGCAGGGCCTTCTACCACCGTAAAAGGCATAAAAAAAGCAAAAACTAGATTGTTTTATGGAAAACTAATGATATTACGCAATGTAGAGGGGGAGGAGAATTGTCATCTCGCTAACATCTTTCAAAATCCAACTCCTCAATAGTCAGGGTAACACTGACAACTTTCTTTTACAGTTCAATGTAGAATATCATTTCTTTGTCCGCTGTGGAAAAAAATCATTGATGACACAAAGTTTACAACGTTTTATAGTTGAATCATAGAAATCGTTTCATCTTGTAAGTTTTACCAATTCGATTCTGATGTTAAGTACCCAAGCACTTACGTCCCCTACCAATCTACAGCTGTCGGTTCAGCTTCCAAAGAGAATGGAAATGCGAGCCAAAACAGTCTAACAGATCTGAGCGCTGATGCCGTTTCCGTGGCCAGTGGTTCGTTGGCCACAGTTCCTGCATCCACATCCGCTGGTGGACCAACGACAACAACAACAGCGGCAACAGCAACAACAACAACAAAACGTCGTGAGGGATTTTTTCGACGCCGTCGTAATTCGCTTACTCAAGAGCCCGGTTTGAGCACGTCAGATTCGACTACCGTCGCTGAATCCATGCGTATGGGGGCTTTGCATCCGATCGGTGGCAGTCTGAGCGCGTTCAATGTGGTCGCCAAAAGAGGCATCCGTCGTCTGGGCACACCATTATCCAACGGGAAAGAGAAATTGACAAATAAGCAAGACTCGAAATCGGGTATGTACCCATTTTATGTGTATGAATGTTTATTGGTTTCTCTGAATGTTTCCTGCTCGTTGTAGTTGTTTATCTTCGAAGCTACCAGGTATAAATACAAATTTTCTGACTGTCATTAGAGAACGCATGATAACAAACACAAGTCGGTTTTGCGGTTAGCAACATTGTTAACTGGTTGGCGTAAAACTAGAGCGTGCGTTCTCTATGCGAGCGAGCACTACATACTTATTTGCGCTGTTTATTCGGGTGAATTGATCGAGCGAGACGATTTACACGCTAGACTCCAAGATCTTACATTTATGTTGCGCTGTCACCGTCGAGTTTTATAAGTGTGCATTTTCATTCGTGCCAGCAGCATACCAACTGACCCGTAATTGAATCATGCCAGTAACCGATTTTATTTGGAGTGACTCGTCTCTTATTCACAGTTCCAAGTTAACCGATTCATACTGCGTTACACGTGTTCTCCTTTGTTACACGCTTGAGGTTATAGGCGTGCACTTCGAGGTCATTTGTTATGAAAATGTTTTCGATAACTGGTTTCTTGTACCCACCGGTGTCCATTAAAGGAGGGCGAATTTCCCAATGACGAACACCTGCTATATGCCCCCAAGATCTGGCTGTCCAAGGTATGATTGGTAAATTTCACAAAGCCGTGGTAGAATTGGTATGTTGCTGAACTGTCTGACACCGAAGGAAGGAAAGTGTACTAAGAGTGGCATCATAGAAACGATCGTTGTGATGAAAACAGATTTCATTTTTACACCACCAATAAAGTTGCACAAGGGTTGCGGTTTCAGCAGCTACCTACTTCTTCACTGGCGTCTGAATCACAGGAAATGTTTCTATAGATATGGAAATGACTCAGTTATTGTTTGTCAGCATGATAAACCTTTAAAATCCATAAAAGATAAAGTATCTAACTGGTGCTCCCTCTCCATGGTGCAGACACGTCCGTTACCGTTGTACGCTAAAGGCAAACTATCGAGCACTGAATCTGGTGAAGCAACCGAATAATCGCTACTATAGTTAGGTGAGAAGTTTTATTTGGTCTGGGACGCGGACGTAGTTTGTGGTATCACGCATGCCACCTGAAAGGGCTCTTCGACGTGCTACCGAGACAAGCAGCAGTTTGAAGAAGGCTCATGGTGTTTGAAGTATAACGTTGCATGATGGCATTAGAACCCCGACTTGGGGATTCATTCGTGTAGGTCGCGTTGGGCTTCCTCGTTAGGGACCCAACTAAATTAATCAATGATTGGAGCCATTGGGTGTGTATGAACGTCCTCAAAAGTGACTCTCATGCATCTACTAGCACTTGCTACTGCTGTCAGCTGTTTACCTGTTTCATTTACTGCTTCCTCATCCGTTTGCCGAATAGAGAACTTAAACGCCAACCGTGGCACAACAGTGCAAACTTAAACCTGCAAAACAGTCCTCGTGTATCGGGTTGACGTCTAATACTCATCTATATGAACTGAGGTAAAACATACCTCATACAAAATACCTCAAGTTGTGAGCAATCCAGCTCGAAAGCTGGGCAACATATGACAATGGAACAGGGTGTCAGTCGAGATCCTCGCTAGGTACCGTCGGACCGAAACGAGGAACATCAGAAGGGTGAATTCGCCGTGTAAATGAGGTGTGAACTGAAAAGCTGGGGAACACTGGATAACTGGTTGGGTCTCACTACCAGTGCAATTTCATCGACCCAACTGGGGATCGAACCCTAGACCTCGCAGGTAAAAAGCAAGCGTACTATCCACTCGGCCACCGGGCAGCTTCCCGGACCCTATCTCTCTTTAGTGTACTTGATGTAGCACAGCCCATCTTTGCGAGCTTGTTGTGGGTATCGCGCTTCGCTCATCTCAGTACCGACCTCCAAGGTCATGACTCGGTTGGAAACCTTCAAAACCTGACATCCTATAATCGAATGAAATCCTACATTTCGCATACAATATCAACGAGAGAAAAGGGGTAAACCGACCAATCACAACCACTTAGTCCATAGAGGGCTGTTTGTGGTTGATACAGGTAATAATTTGTTCATAACATAAAGTGGGTGGGGGAGCAAGGAATAGGATAGGATTAATGTTGGAATGCTGGGAGTTGTGGGGACATGGATTATATCATATCGAATGAGATGCAGCGTGCTCTGTCGATATCGAGTGTTTTGCGAAGGCGTGAACATGCAATCGTCTATAAGAGCGATGATTAAGAAGTGTTCTAAGCGGCAAATACATCCACCATAATTTCAGATTGGAGCCAAACAGGGAGAGGGGCGATGATACAAACCAAGTGATTCTTGAATTGACTGGCGTGAGGAATCTTTTAAAAACCGTTCAATCTTAACACCTCCGGTTGTGATTGCTGCATGTGACAGTTCATGTGAAAATTCGAAAAATGAACAAGATTTCCGCAGGCGTTATTCGCATCAATTAAGCGGATATACTTTTGCACGACTATCTTATGTGTGAAGATAATTCCGTTCTTTTGTTGACATTGATGACAGTCGTTTATGCGTTTCGATCTGCGGCAAATTCGGTTATCTTTGAAATTCAGTTTCTGTACCAGTGGCTCACGAAAGAAACTGCCCAAGGACATGAACGATGCCCTTCGGCTCGACTGTTTTGGCCCACGTATTTAGCTGCTTCTCAATTTGACATTTACAATCTGATCGGTGTGCCGATGAGCTATGTTTTGAGTAGGAAAAAGATACCACCGTGCCACTAACAACAGTATTATTAAGGAATCCAGACTATTCTTTCGTGTGTTCTTACAACTTTAAGGGACGAAACACGGTCATGCCACTTAGCTATATTTTGGAGGAATCAGTGGTCGAAGCTCTCTTTCGTGTCATCGATCCTCGGCTTAACAAGCGTATTTGTGGACTTGCTGACGGAGACTCGATAAACACTGAGTTTTATGTGAAGGTTTCATTTGTTGTAAGACAACAATGGTTTGTTAATTCTTTGGAATGCTCTGTTTGTGCAGACAACGCAAAGTTTGACTTTGTCTCGGGCTTAGCTCTTTGGTTTGATGATTGAAGGAAAACTCTATGGACTCTTCCTTGTAGATAGAAGTGCGCCTTAGCGTTGTACGATAATATTATCAGCCACTCGTACCTTCCGAGCATCTCAGCGGCGCGTGGTATTCCCTAGAATGATTTTCAACAAAAAGAGTCAAATCCAACACGAAATTCAATGAAACTGGTTAAGTTGGGATGTCGGAATTCACGATTAAGATGTAACGTAACGTAAAGATCTGGTTGATACAACTTAGCTCACTCATTCTTGAAGAAAACTTCTCTGGTTTGAACGCTTTCATCTTTACCGTTTAGCAACAAATGGGTTAAGCATCGCAGTTGCGAAGACATCGATTGTTACGTGGACGCAACTCAAGTCAAGAAAAGCTTTATGCACCCAAAAGGTGAATTCTCAGCAGTTTACGAGTTTTACAGTGGATATATAAAATAATTGTAAACAAAAAACATGCAGTATGATAAATTCTGCACTTTAATAAATGAGAGAAAAAATTAGGGACAAGTGTTTTTCCCGAGGTGGGTGTGGATATGCTGACGATTTACTAGTAAACGAGCTAAGCAAGGAATTACACTGTTTCGATATGTGGAAGTCCGCGCAGGAAGGAGTTGGTATTTGGAGCGTGTCCGGGGAATTGACAGGGCTTTCGCGATATCTTGATGCAGACAGTGCCCTTGATCATGCGTTATCCTGTCAATGAATGTATCACAAGCGTCAAGATGCTTGGAAATAAAGAAATCAATTAAAACAGTTTTATCAACTCCACAGTAGCGGGACAAAAGTTTAAGGGATCTTGAAAATAAAGATAAGTCTTTTTTCAGCCCGGGGATAAAAATCGGGGAGCAGTATAGCCAGTGTGGAAGAATGCGGGCAAT